CATTCATTAATGAATGTGCGTACTAAAACCCAAAAAATCCGCCAGACGCCGATGTCTGGCTGGGGAATTCTGGGAGTTGAAGTCCACACATCTTAAAGTTGCTGAGGTTGAGAAACACTGCTCTAAAGGGACATAGATTGCTTCTCAATAAATACCAAGTAGACTATAATTTCATACATACAAACAAAATGATGATCCCAAGTTGTAACATTGTGAAAACAAGGACAGCTTCTCTGCTCACAGGTTCATGCTATGCATGATTGCATTTTAAACCTCTGCCTTTAAAGAAAACCTACATGCCCTCCAATATGTTATCCGTGGCACCCAAGGGAGGAAGACGGGGAAGGAAAAGTAAGCAAGGTGGCCAAATTTGATTCTCTGCCCGTCTGAAAAAAGGCCAGTCTTGACCAGATTGGTTCCTAAGCAGGCCAAAGTATCATACAACAGCTGGAAAGAATTAAAGAATTAAGATCCATATTCCCCAGTGCCTTAGTCTTAAATTCAACTTCTTGTGGCCAAAACCTGGCTCACCTAAAGCAACCAAATCACTTTGAAGATACCACATAATTGCATTAGCCTGCAAACATTAAAACGGTGTACACTGGGCTCCCAGCAAAGCATTCGCCCTTTGCTGAATGGCCCTGAGCAAAGGCAGAACCAGAACTTATATACCCTTGGCCTACTACATTGCAAAGGCAGGGCCAAGAAAAAGCCAGACCTGGTGGAAATTACAGCCTGATGCTGGAAAGTTTTTGATAAACCCACCCGTGTGATATTATTATTATTATTTATCCCTTCCTACCAGATCAGCAGAGCAGCTATAAATCATTTGGTTGACTGGGTCACAGGTTCCTGACTGATTCTTCCCCCTGTCACCTCTCAGGGTCAATTCAATTTTCTTACAAGGAGACTTTAAGCAGTTCACCTGTGTGGGTGTGTGGGGAGGGGGGCAATCTCATAGGTTTGATAGTGAATGCAGCTCCTAAGTATATGGGGCGGGAGCATACCTTTCACCACCACAAACTCCAAAGCACTTGCTTTTGAGTAGACCTGCTGCAACGTGTGCACGAGAATGTAGCTTTCAATCAGAGGTAAACAAGAAAGCTGGACCTGCCTATTGTGGAAATGCATAATGGGGTTTGTTTGCTTGGGATGACTACAACATGCAAACGCAGCCATTGAGGCTGGTCAACATGAATTACTGTATAACCTCGTAGTGGGATTATCCATAGCTAAACAAAACATGGTTTTGTGCGGCCAAAGTGCAGACTGAATGTGTGTGGGCGTTTAACGCAAGTTGTTAATTTAAAACAAAATGAAGAGTTAATTTTAGTGTTTTAGTTTTAAGATGTGTGGGTGATGACCAGCAAAGCATGTGGGGAGGGTGGGGCTAACACTTTCCTCCCTCTTCTTGGGTGCCAAGAAAAATCTCTTCTCCTCCCCAAAGCTTGTATCTGAGAACACCTTTCAGTGTACAAGGGATACTGCCTTCTTCTCCAACAGAGGGTCTGCCCCTTCAGCATTGACCCAGCAGCCTGAAATTCAAGAGATGCAGCATTTTCCTTCCCTGCCTGTTTGTGGAGGCAAAGCATTCCACCTGTTGAATTTCTACTTGTCTCACATCAGGCACAAAGCTTTGGCATGGACCTACGTGACTCAACTTGCTCATCTGGCATTCTAGGTGTTGTGTGTTCCTGAGAACTGGGAGGGTCTGGCCACAATCCAGCTGAGACAGGGAGTCATGTCAGCCGTGGCCTTGAGCCACCTTACTTAATTGTTGACCTCTGAGTGAGCAATCACAGAGAGGATGGCACCTTTGAAATCCTTCATGTGCACGTGCCCAGCTTCAGCCTTCTCCAGTGCGTCATAACCATCCTCACCACTTTGCTCCTTCTGCAGTATCTTCCAGCCATCCCAGATACCATATGAAGTCACCGCCATCCAGGTCAGCAGCTGGGAATTCTGTATGTCAGGCATCTAAGGGTTTCTGGGTTCTTTATACTAACAAAATGATGCACCAGTTTAGGAAGCTGAAAAGGAGGGATCGCATCTGAATGAGAGTGAATACGGAACATGGAGGTGGTGATAATTCTCCAAATTTAATTAGGACAGAACACCAGGGTGTGTTTGCTTTGTGGCCAGGCCACAGCCCTTCCTATACTTAGGAAGCAGGTTAGCATAATGACTGTTTTTCTCACAGCTTGTGGCATCCTTTATTACACAAGATTATTTTCTCTAAATGCACCTATCGAACACATTCTTGCTCGTGGTAACAGCTTCATGGATTCTGGGTGCTATGCTGAAAACAGAGTGGGCAAATTAAAGATCACTATCTGGGCTGGTTTGCAGCTGGACAGGTGGAAGAACACACAACACTTCTATCACTTATAGGTCTGCCTTCTCAACTGAAAATGCTTAAGATACGTCAACCCCCATCTGGCCAAGCATACTTCAGATAACACTACCATATCTGAACTGCAAAATCCAGGTGGCCTAACTAGACAGCAGCAAATTCTGTACTTCATCATTGCCTTCCAGCAACCCTAATGATTTTTGCAGCCCATATATGGTAGCCCTACTTTTAAGGAACCCCAAACACCTAGGGGGATACCTCTTGGGCTGACCTAGAAGGAATAGATCTCCAGGGGAAATGTTCCAGCTGATGTAGATATGGCCTTTAAGTATCCCACTGGAGAAATCCAGCTCTGATTCCTTCATGACTTTACCCCCAATGGTGGTAAAGTTCAGAGCTGATGCCAGCAACTGAGCTTCTACCTAAAGGTTGGACTAACAACAATTGGGCAGGTGGAAATCATTGTCTATCATCATGCACTAAATATTTTCACCAGCTGGTTTCCGAAGACCATGCAGCTATTAAAAGTGTAAGGTTGGCCAGATAATGGTTGTGTGGCTATCCAGCACAACAAATC